CCCTGTGTGTTTAAGCCTAGTACTGGAATGAGCCGACTTTCCAGCAGGCGCAGGCACCAGTGCTTTCCCAGACAGAGTCACACAGCGTTGAGAGAAAACCGCAACAGTTCCAGAGCAAAACACGGCATTACAACAGTTTCATCGGTCACATCCGCTAATATGCCACACATACATTGGTATATTCCTATAAACAATGAGGTACATTTACACAAGTTACACAGTCTGCGTTCAAACAAATTAGATCATGTTGTCCACTGTATATATAATATATACTACAATTTATGGAACTGTGCAGCATTCAGAGAATGGGTCTGTAACTAGAACGACTAGAAATTCAAAAATAGCCATGCAATTGTCCATGGTACGGAACCGCTTCTATTTTGGCTGTTGCAAAGCCCCCTGCAATGTCCGTAACTTACAGCCAATTAAATTCTTCTGCAAAAATTGTGTTAGTTTCCAACGCAAAATTAACGAAAGGTATGAAAAACGGTAAACAGCTTCTGCAGTGCTTCTTCTTTGTGTCTTGAGGATGAGTAATACTGCAACATTATGTTGAGGCTGATAAGGTACTCCCCTTCTATCTTCCCAAACTGGGAACTACTCTTTACAGGATAGTATCCAAATATACACACATTTAAAGTTAAAATAAAGACTTTAAATTATTAAAAATTATAATTGAAAAGTTGTGTTCAAATTACAACAGTTATCCAGCTATAGACCACAGTATAAATTTAAAAACAGGAAGCAAACACTTTTTTTTAAAGTATTTGACAAGAATATATATATATATATATACCTTAGTAAGCTGGGCCAGAGAAATAGATGCAGAAGAGTCATCAATCTGTTCACAAAAAATTAAACACATATTCAAGTTCTACAATCAAAACATAGCAATCGTTAACCTCTACTGCAGTCTGAAAGCCTGCACTATAACCTCTGAGTGCCACTGAAAGAGGCACTTCCAACCCAGAGTAACTGTATTTATTCCAAACAAAGCCCAAACCTATGGCAGCTTAAGAGTGCCTGTGTGGTTAAGAGGAAGAAACTAAAATAGCCAGACCCCCTTGAGATAACTTATTGCTCCACAATATCCCAGAGAAGGACCCTTCTCAAATGCTCACAACTGCTTAAAAGTCGAAGGGGAAAGGGAGCTGCCAATTTTCAGCTAAAACAGATTTAAAAGAGAAGTGTTTCAGTTTATTAGAGACAAAGTATCCACTACAGGAAACTGCTTTTCAGTGCAATGTGTGCATTAATCAGGTAATGTCTCGTCAGCAGCTGCCTGTCAGACAAAGCACAGGCTGTCAGCCCTGAACCACGAACTCTGCCCCTCCTGCCACTAACCTGAACTAATGCCAAACTCGCCATACCCCACCGAACCCAAATCAAAACGCCAATCCAAAACATCAGCTGAAAGTAACCCACCACTTCGTCTATAAAAACCAATTAAATTAGTTAAATAGCTTAAATTAGTTAAACATGACACAGTAGCCTATAAAACTGAGAAAATGGATTATTGTATCTTATTAAACTACAAGCTACACTACCAAAAGCAGTTTGGGAAGTGTGAGAATTCTGTATTTCCCTTGCTATCAGGCCAAAGCCAATGTTTAATAGCAGCCCAGGAGTGAATGAACAAAAGCAAGGAAGTGCAAAGCAGACTCCTGAAGATGGAAACATGGATTTAGAGCACAGGCCTGTATTATTTCTCCATTGTACTGGGACGGCGTGCAGGGATGAAGCCCCCAGGGCACTGGTCAGCAATGGACTGCGGTGTTCATGGGGAACTAATACTGAAGGGCAGCTGTTCCACAAGTAAAAAGGGTAACTCTCATCTAGTTTCTTTTCCAGTATATTGAATTAAATTATGCCACAAGCAGCAGTTAAGCCTACAGTAGCAAAACATTACCAGAAAGACACTCAGATCACTGCTTGTTATGTCTGAAGTTGCTCAAAAATGTAGAATTAAATTTCACAATGCAAACTGAACAGCTCTCCTCAAAAGGTCACTAAATTGATCAGAAGAGAAATTAAAATCCTCTTGTCCTTTATTCCCAAACGTGGTGGAAGAATTCAGAGGAGTAATTTTAGCGGACTCGGGGTGGGGGGCAGAAATCTACATGCAGAAGATGACTCCCCACTCTAGTTCATCATTGCTTCTCCATAGGCTTAGTAATCTACAGTAGAGTGGGATGTGCTTTCCTAACTAAAAAGTTCCTGAAAATGTGCCTTTGGAGAGGAACACCCAGACTGAGCCTTTCTGCTAAGACCTGCAATGGCAAGAAGATTCAACTTTCTGCTTTTCAGAACAGCCTGTGCCTAGCTCTGTGAAAAGCAAGCCTGATCGAGTACTCTGAAGCTTCATGCTCCATCTGCCGCTCCTTCACACGTGGAGAAGCCAGCCCCATGCTCCCTCCTGGCAGGCACAGCCACCATCGGGCTGTGGGTCTTCAGAAGCAGCCACGAAATGAGGAGAGCTCCCTGCTGGGGTCTGGTATTGAGCACCAACAGAAACACAACAGGTAACCAACTATTCATTAGTTCCTGCATTTTTTAGGAAGCAGTTATTATACGGCCTGCAGGCAACAGTCTGATTTCTTAAAGGAGGTGAGAGCACTCTTTTCTACTAAAGAGTTATCAAAAGCAGCAAATAGATAATTAATAAGTAATTAGTGTATTAGATATTACACTAATAGATAATTAATGTACTGGTCAGTACAGCTGCCCAACAGCCATCTTCCAATGACCCTACATTCTTGTCTCTTTTTTTTAATCCTCTAAATTTCTGCTGAAGTGTCCCCTGCCAGTCCCTCAAATCAGCCAAGTGGAAACAACATCTCCATGAATCTTGTACACAACCCTAAGATAATACTGCAGAAGAATTGGGAAAAAAAAATAAAGCAAACTCCCAAAGTCCTGAAGCACCAGTCAATGTGTTAGCTCCCATTTCATGCAGAAGGCTGAACAGAAACTAATGCCAGGGAAGTGGGAAAGGGGACAGAAAATAGGAGGAAAAGGCCAATGTCACTGCTGGAGTGCTACACTTCAATTACAGTGGTTTCCCAAAACCTGATACCCTGCCTAAACTCAAAACCCAGCCAGGAAGGATCCCAGTTGTGCTCAATGGCACTGAAATGAGGGCCAGGACATCTCTGCAGTTCTGCAGCCTCCAAGGACAAACGCCAAGAGGATCCTTGCAGTTCCTGAAACTGTAACACAAAAGGATTCACTCCCTTCCCGTGGCTGTGGTAACAGCAGGACAGCAGCACAAATCTGGAGTGTAGAATGGCAGCTAACGTAAGAGTAAGACAATGAAGAAATATTCAAAGTGCAAGCTTTTGTGCATCCTTAAAAAAAATAAATCTCAATTCATTTTAATTTTGCTGCTTTACGTAACAAAATATTTGGCAAGCTTTCCCGTGATTTATTCCGACCACACTAAGATCCAGGTTCTACTTTGAAATACATGTATTAAAAAAAACCACCAAAACCCAAAAAAACAAAACCAAAGAAACCCCCACACTTCAGACCAGGCCCTGAGTCAGTGCTAGAAATGAAGCCAATTGTGTCTCCAACACCAGAAGCACCTGAGGCTGCCAAGACTTGTCAAGAGACGCACGGCTTCCACCGGTCCTACAGCTGCCCACAGCCCCAGGCAGGTACAGAGCTAACAAGGGGATGCTTTTGCTTTGCCTTTCCTTTCATTAGCTCTAACTAACACTAAGTCTTCCCTCCCACTCCAGGATTCTTCCTTTATTCTTCTTCTCTTTCGAGATGTCTATGATAGCTTCTGGTAAGATGCTCCTTAGAAATGTAGTACAGACATGCCAGGGAACACACAAGGCTAAAAGAATGTTAACTTTATTTATGAACATGTGATTTGTGTTTATACACATGCTAGTAAACAAAAAGAAAAGTAACTGTTTTCAAGAAATAAAAACCCATCTGAATTAGATCAAATACTATAAACGTGGTTTACACAAATGCATTACATTAACTACGAGGGTCACTGGGCCAGTTAAACTAAAGAGGCATTCGTGTCCAAAAAGGAATCCGAATCAATCAGCAACAGAATCATGGATGCAGATTTAGGCCTACACACAAAGGGTTTTCAGTTTTAAGCTGATCGTGCACCATCCCACGAGCATCAGGGGCTGTATTCTTCACAGAACAGAGACCCAGAGCTCAGGAATTTCTCAATTAAGTTACCCTGACAGCTTATCAAGTGATCAGATCCAATGATCCAGGGTTAGTGTAATGCCTCACACCATTCTAGCGAAAAAAAGCAGTTATACTTGAAGATGAAAAATAAAAACCACCACATAGTAATTTTCATACTATATGGACTATGTTGAAATGCGCAGTTACACACACTGTTTGACCCAAGTGGCAAATCAAGATCTAGACCATACCAGTCAAGTATTTCTGTGTGTTACTTATTTATATTTTAGCAGCAGAACAACAGTGTTTTCAAAACTGAAGAAAACCGCTGCCCCTTTTCCAAATGTCAACTCCAAGAGGTGGTATACTAAAGAAAGGCTTAACCTTTGGGAAATTAAAGCAGCAGCCAGCCCTGAAGTCACCCAGATCCAAAAATGCAATGCAGGCACAAGTTAACAGTGACAGGGACTTTACCCACAAATGCACCAGGCTCTAACCTTGTGCCAAAATTTGTATTAGTTCTTTTCATTTCAGACAAACTATTAAACTAAACTGCTTCATCAGATCAAGTGGAAAGACCAAATGCAGAACTTTAGAATACCACTTTGTGTAGCAACGATATTGAAATTCACGGCAATCTATTCAAGACATTTATGCAGGCAGAGGGGCCCAAACAATATCACTTCAATTATACAGCTTTAGGAACAAACACCCAAGTATTCAAGGACATGAAAAGGGATCATTTAGCTGAACAGAACTGTCCTCAAAACGTACGGGCCACGATGGGTTTGGTATTTGTTTGAACCCCCAAGTCAAAGTAAGGAACAGTACCAAGTTTAACAACAGTGGTTTCTCAGTGGTTTTTGATAACATTTTCAAAAACCATTAGGCAAAAAAAAAGTATTTAAAAACAAAAGCTAAGTGATACAATGTGAAAATGGCAAAATATACACTCCAAACAATTTTTATTGCAAGAAACAAAAAGCACACAACAACCTATACAAACATACATATCACTAGCTAGAGACAGACAGATGTAGAACATGGCACCATGTTCAACTGCGCAAACCTCCAACCTACACGATCTGAAAACGACCGTACATTGTCTGTACAACACAGAGTCATACAGGAGATATTCTAGCATATTCAATATGAAATACAGCGCGTCACTAGGCACAAATACCAATATTCACATTAGAACTGTGCAAATGATGGCATTACTCGGTTTTCACTATGCTGAATCAAATACATTGTATTTACAACATATACTATGTTTTACTGGAAAATATATTAAGTTAAGGTTTGGAAAATTAAAAAGCTACATTGTTTAGAGTTAAGTGCAGTGTGCAGAAAAAAGTGTGAGATTGTGTTTTTACATACTGCTTTTGATGTTCCACTCACTGGCTCACTTCGACTTCTAGAAGAAGAAATAAAGGTGATCAGAATTGAAAATAAAGCACTCGTACCCAACATAAAGCAGTGAAAACAGAATACAAAACTTCAACATGAAAACGTTATGTTCTGATAGTCTAGCCAATGTGGAATTTTATTCATCTACATAAACTGTTCTCTCCTGGTACATTCAGTGCAACTAAAAAAAAACCCAAAAGTCAAATTTCTACTCTGTCACAAATTACTTAAGACTTACAGATACAGAACACAACAGTGCGAGAGGAAGTCCTCAGATATTTTGTTTCTGCTACGTAAGTATGAAAATTATGAAATATGTGTACTACAGTTTTGTGTTCTTAAATAACCAACCATCAAAATAGGAAGGTAGCTTTAGCCAACCTGTATATCCCTAGTACTACAAACAGCTACCCGATACAAGACTTTTTTACAGCACAGTTTCTAAGAAAGAACAGCGATAATCTGGACACTTTGAAGTGCAAGTTTGCTTAAGTGGAAAAAAATAAATAAATTAAAAAACCAGTCATCTGACAAAGGAATAACAGAAGTGTCACCAGCAGAGTCTTTAGAACAGTGTTTCTTTGTGGAAGCCCAAGCACTGTGTTCAGACATCTACTATATTTAGCCATGAATGTGCCAAAATACTAAATGTGTTACATATGCTATATTGACTAAAAATAGTAGTAGAAATGTCACCTGAAAGCAGTTTCTAGGATTTTGTGCGATTTAGGAGTCCTGTGACAAAAAAAGAGGTCTTAATTGCCAGAATTTGCTTTAAGATAATCTTGAAAATACTACAGTATTTTAGGAAATATTTAGCACATTTGAAAACTTGCTGAGATTCCACATACTCATTGATCTGCATCTGCATGCCGCTCATCGTGAACTGGACATGCAGCCACTGATGGTTAACAAACAATCCATGCACCATCCAAAGCGTCCCATGAGCAGAGGCAGCTCAAGGGCTGCGGGCGAATTGCTCTACCAACACGGGCTCACGCTGCCTGTCCCTGCGAGAGCTCCACCGGGCTGCAACTACAGCCATGCACCCCCTGAAGCTGACGAGGTACAAGGAGCTCCTCCATACCACCACACGATGCTTTCTGCATCTGTTTACCTTGAACTAAAAGGCAAATACACATTTTTGAAGGCCTTGCCACTATTGCAGCATACATTCACTGGCCCCAAACATTAACACTACCAGCTGCTTCTGCAGCGTTTCCAGCTGAAGGAACAGAAGCTCATCTGCCTGGTTCACTTTTGATGGCAGAACAGCAGTGCTGTTCTTTTATCATCCCCACATGCAAGTACATATTTGATCGCTGATGTTAGCAGCATCTCTCCTCATTTTAGGGCAGCATTGCAATGCCAGGAGAGGCTGCCATCTGACCAGAAGCAGAGGATGCATTGATAAGGCAGCACTAAGCATACATACTTCAATTAACCTCCAAAACAAGGCCATGTTTATAAGCACAGCGCTGTGGGGTCCAGAATTACTAGGTTGTGCCTAAAAGCACTGCAACAACTACTGCAGTAATACGGCCAAAGTTTACATGCAGAGACACATAAATTCAGGTTTTGCTTGCAAATGCTTCATGGGTACCAGGATGTTGCTGTACTGTTTGTTCGAGACACAGTGTAACTCGGTCTACTTTAGTTATTGAAAATCAACATGAGAAAGACATGGCAAAACCACATGCTAGTAACATCTACTAATTGTGGAGAAGCATATCTTAAAAGGTGGCTGGAAAACATGGCCATCCAAACAATGCTAAAGTAGCTCATCTAGAACTAGACTGTATGAATACATAAATGACAGCAATAATCCTGTATTCAGGATTGCATCTGAGTATCTGCAATGTTAATCAAAACACCTGAATCTGTCCTCCATAAATCTTAGGAATACAGAATTAAAACCTGGAGAACAGATATCAGTTTAGGGTAAAAACAGTCCTAGGCACATTTAGTAATGTGCTAAACTGCTTACTCAAGTTTCATGTTTGGAAAGGATTAACTACTCCATCGTCCTCTCACAAAAGGCTGTACACTTAGGATATTGTTCTTTTTCTCTTGCCTGAAACAGGCAGTGTCTTCAGGAAACCAATATGAATCACTTATGAACACAACTTCTTGTTTACATGGTTCACCAGCTGGGAACCCTTGGTCTTCCCTCTGCAGCCAGTACTCAAAATCCCAGGTTTGGAGTGTAAGTATTCCTGCCATATCCTGCCCACTCCCAAAGGAAAGAAACAGTCAAACACTGAGACTGTTTTGAGATGAGAATAAATTATAAGGTTACACTGAAATGTGTATCTGTCTTTGCTATAAAAGCAGTAACAGCACACACATATAAGGCGGCATCTCTCCAAATGGAAAAGGAGGACACAGGACCTACAGCTTGGGTCTTGGAGCAATCAACCCCAGGAACAAACCCAACAGAATCATCTTAAACGTTACCACTGCTGGAGTTTGAACCCCATGTCCCGGCAGGCCTAACAATGGGACAGATGCACTAACTGAATGCCTCTATAAACTAACAGCAATTTTAAAAGTTAAACTGAAAGCCTTCACAAAGAATGCAATGCTTTAGGGATACTTACATAACATACGTTTTGCTGGTAGCTTTAACTCCTCCAATAGGAATTCTTCTAACAATGACTGATGAGTTCTTCGGAATCAGGGCATTATCATCTGTGTATTCTGAAAACAATGTAAATACAGGGAAAACATCAGTTAATTGGTAAGAATGTGTATTAATATGTAATTACATAGCACCGCAGAGAATCCCTTTGCAGATCGTAAAAGCAAAATTTGTTATGCAGCATTCCATTTTTGTCATCTCAACACAGTAACGCTGCACTTCAAGAAATCTTCAGGCTTGAGAATCAAACACAAGCAGCAAAATCTTTCTTTTTTTTACAACAGTTTGAATGCCGACAGCAAAATGGTCTCTAATGGAGGGACTGCTAATGCACGAGCTTCTTCCCTGACCCAGCTTAAGTGGCTTTTGCTTCTGTCAGGCTACAAAACCAACAGATCTTTGGAGAAAAACAAAGCACAGCAAAGACTCAGCGACATAACCCAGGCTCTGAAGCCTGACAGCCCACCCTGCACCAGAACAGGTGCTCAGCTAAAGCACGGAAATTGTGCCCTTGCTTTCACAGCCATCACCTAAAACCCATTCACCTCTGCTGCTGGTGTTCCACACTGACAGAACACCAACGAGTGCCTGGCATCCCTGCTTATTTCTTGGAGCTTAATCCATCACCAACCACACTGCTCAGGGCTCAGCACTTTACATTTAAATGGAAACCAAACTGGCAGCGCTAGAATTTGGATCGCAGAAATTATGTTTATTTTTCCTGAGCTTGCTTTCACAAGTAGGGCAGAATTGGCTCAAAACTGAAGTGGTATCTCCCCTCTTAAGCTAATAATCTCCTCTGAATTAACCAAAGGGACATCAACTCTTTTGAATCACTTTTCGCAGAGCAGAGACATAAACGGAATTACTTATGAAGACAGCCTTGAAAAGCCTCTCAAAACCAGTGTGCGCCCGCAGCTACCTGTGCTTTGCCTTGGCTTACACCATGCCAGTCTTCTGAAGAGGACGAAAGGCTTCGGACCTTGTACATAAGGCCCAAACAAAAAAAATCAATCACCTGAGACACTGAATAAGCATAAAGTGCAAAGATCGCTCCATAAGAATGGTTTTTATATCATACTTACACAAGCTGGATGTGACTAAATATTTTAAAGCACTATCAGCAGCCATTTGCTGTACACTGTTTTAAATATTCAAAGCCTGTACACCTTTTCAGATCAAATCAGAAAGATGGTCTGAAAACCAAAGATACAGTATACCCAGTAGAGCTGTCAGGGTGGTTCTGCCTAGTGATCACACAAAGCATTTCACCATTTATGCTCCATTTTCCAGTATCTTGTTCCAATAGGCAGGTACATCCCTTAGACCAAAACTCCTCTACCAGTAGACATCATTTCAACAACAAAATGAACATTTTACTTCTGTTTCCAAATGACAAAAATGCTTCTTCAGAAAACCAAGAAATCATTTAGCTGAAACTAATTCCTGGTCTTGCCCCCTAGGGAACCGAACAGCAAGCTTCCTCTGGACTTCAGAGTAGTTCAAAACTGTAGGAGAAAGGGCTACTAATGACAAAACCAGAAGCTTTTACAGAAGTTGTACCCCTAGAGCTCTTACAAAAATAAAAATCTAACCGTTACGCAGCTGCCTGTCAAGATAGGCCTGTGCTGGGACTTTCTGATGGAGGAGCAGCTCAAACAGCACCACAGCTCAGACAGACAGCTGGGAGACCAGGCCAGCAGCAGCTCTGGAAGCCCAAAGCAGCTGTTTCTGCTCACAGAATAAGCCATACAGAGCACTCTGACCCATCCACATCACCACCACTGGACTGAGATTTCAGACATAGGATAAGCACCAGTAGCTCCACAAAAAGGCAGGACTTTGCTACGCCTGTCCCAAACCAAGGACTGTGGCAGTTCTGCGGAGGGCTGCAAGTGGCAGCACCTCTCCTAGAAAAAGCCTGTACGTGAGGACAGGCACCAATGCACTCACTCCAAAACCACACAGGCCTGCAGAGGTGGATCTGAACACGTGCAGTGGGGCTATGACACAAAAAGGAACAAGGCCTCTTTTAGCATCAGTGACAAGTCACTGACCATTGGAAGAGAAGCTCTGACTTCTGCCTTCTGAAGAGCCTCTCCTTGCACGTACAGAGAGATGATCTTGTTTTCAGTCTGCTTGTTAAGCGCTCAGTGAAGAGACCTCCAGCTGTTTAATAACAGGCTGATATAAAAATGAATTCACCTTAAAAGTCAATCAGCACACATGCAAATAGATCAACTGAAGAGTGACAACTGCTTGTAAAGTAAAGGCTTTATCTGTATAGGACAGTTATCACAGCACAAACTCGTATGTGATACTTGAAGGATCCCACTGGCTTCATCACACTGTCAGAATTTGTGGAAGAGTGTTTACACACAGCACAGCTCATTGCCGAGTTATTTCTGTGAAAGGTACTGATACCAGTTGGCTTTAATACATTTGTTTTTCCTTCGCCTCAATTAACGGAATACATTTTGGTGATGATCTATTAAAGGTGAAGTAAAACAACGTAGACTAAAAAGTTATTTTATTTTTAATAGGAAAGGACTAAAGCTGGAGTGCTATTCCTGAAGTCCCTGGCAGTTTTCGTTTGCTCCATTTGAATTTAACACATGCCAGCTTTGTCTAACACCGCTCAGACTAAGCTGGCATCTCCCAGCAGGAACGCTCCCGTGGGCAGAGACTTGGCAGCCACCAGGACCTGCAGAGTCACGACACTGCCTCACCACACAGCTCCACACCTGCAAAGTGAGCAGTGACACCACGCTCACCAGGGCTGCTTCTCATGCCTGTCCAAGCAGTGCTTCAATAGGAGTGTCCAACTGAGCTGGAGGTAATGACATTGTTCATTCCTACCTCCTTACAGCGCATTTGTTTTACTCGTTTATGCTATAAACAATGTACTGAAAAAAGTTCCCACTTTATTTTGTGGCCAGCTTTAATCCACCATTTTGAGTCTGACAGAGCTGCAGAAGCATCTCTTTGAACACCAGCTGGAGAAGTGTTTGCACCCAAATTAAGTAGAGAAGCTCATCAGAAGCCATCAAAAGGTAACTCTGTATGTACAACTACAAAGCCTTTATTAGGCGTAGATGCCTTGCTAACCAGCTATTATGCTGCTGGGGGAAGGATTTGCAGAGTAGGAGATGAAAATGACTTCTACCAGGCCGGACTGTCTCTACCAGAAAGCAGGGTAACTCCCAAGAACATATTTCCTCCCTAGCACTTAAAAATATGGTTTCCCTCTATGTGATTTTTAAACTCTGTTCTAACCAGCACCACTTGCACACTTTGCGACAAACAAACCACCTATGCGGCTGGCACTGAAAGCTTTGTCCTGACATATCCTGATTAACAGGCTGGCCTACTAGTTCTGCATTTTCAGCTTCCACCAAAATAGGGATCAATGATCTCATCTATCATTGGTATATCATCATTTCTTGAATTAGCTAGTTCAGTAAGCAACTTTCATTTGCACTATTATTATACAACACTGCTCCAAAAGAGCACCTGTATTGCTCTGAAAGGATGAGTCAGTAAAATCTAATATACTTTCAACCATTAATCTGATTATACAGACTGACCAATGCCTTATTGGCACTGCCTGCCATTTCACCGTGACTGGGAAAATGAAAGCACTGCAGGACCCAACGCAGTGATGACCAAAACTGGGCCTGCCCTAAGCACCCACCCAAGGGACACTCACCCAGATGGCAGCACCTCGTGGTCCCAAACCCACTGGTGACACAACCAGAGTGGCAGAGCCCTGGACAGGCCACATATGAGCTCTGCTGTAACACTAGGTGTTGTGAATGGTGCATGACTTGCTCTCCGCCCAACCAGGGAAACGGCAACTCTGTATCCTTTCCGAGAGCTCTACAGAACATTGTTGCATGGCAGCCCAGGGATTAACTGCACTGAGGTGCAGTCAAAGCAATCCCCCATACTAGCACTGCCACACAAAACGGCACAGCGAAGGGCAAGGTTTGAAAAGCGCTTACACGTGTGCTCTAAAACGCTGCTTGCACAGCGCTGAAGACACTGCAGTAGACAGCCGTCAGCTGCGAGGACAATGATTTCATTCAGAGTTCACACGGGTTTGTTGTGAAGGCATCACATCGTGGTGTTACTAGAACTGCCAACTGTGTGCTGCAACACTGAACTCCAGCAAGTTCCGAGTTCAAAAGACAGTCTTACAAGAGCAATAGTCTTCCTTAAAACTATCCATTTAAGACCAGATCAGAGACACATTTTGGATTTTATATAATTTTTTATTTTGCCTGAGAAGCAGAATAGCACATTCCCCAAGTGTTTTCAGTCAGGACGTCACAAAGCAGGAAAGAGCACTTGAGAAACCCGAGTTTGGGAGTTTGCAGTTCCTCCACAACATTGTGAGAACATCTATTGCAAAAAATAGGTCAGGAAATTCAGATCAAATTAAAAGGAGGAAAGTTCAAATGCATTCCTCTTGAGTACAGGCTTTTTGAAGGGAATTCTGCCTTCACAAAACATGTCTCTATAGGAAACACAGAACAGGACACCCTGACCCCCTTTCAAACAGGTCCCAATCACCCATTCTGCCTTCCCAGCACTGTGAGAAGAGCCCATCACATAATTTTTTTCCACTGATATTTAAAAACCTGTTTACTTTTAGCTTATATTAGCATTGCTTCTCCTACTAAATTTCCATTACGAAAAGTACCTGTTACTGAAAAACTGTAAAAGCTGAGAGCACTTGGAAAGATGTTGTGACCAAGTAGGGCACCTTCACTCCAGGTTCACTTTGTTCTTTCCAAGATCATCCCAACGTGTAGTCAGGACTATGCACAAAGCTATAAAACCCCAATAATTTAAGTCCACGTGTAAGAATTCCAAACATGCCAGTGAGGCAGAGTATCCTGGTCTAGTTTTTTCCCCTCTATCTTCTGAAGGTGAGTTTAAGCACCTACATCTGATTAATAAAAACTGAAATTCAATTATGCATATAAGCCAAAAACTTGGCATACATATATATTACACTGAAACGTTTTCTAGCTTTGCTCTGAAAACCACTGGG